GGGCTTCCATGAGAGCTCCATGCTTGGCAAGTGTATCAGCCACACCATTTGCTTCACGATATGTGTGCTTGATCAACACCTGTTCAAACTGCTGGGTCAACAATCTGTAGGATGCCATCAAAGTCTTGTGATTTAAGCATTTCATAGAGTAATCTGCTAGAGCATTGACTACAAAAGTAGAATCAGTTTCCACTTCAAGCAGTTTAATCTTTAATTTAGCAGCTAATTCCAAGCCGATTTTGATGCCCCAAAGCTTAGCATCATTATTTGTTCCATATCCAAGATTCTGCGCAAAACCCATGACCCAAGTACCCTCATGATTTCTAATTACTCTACCAACACTAGTGCAGGTTTGGGTGAAGTTAGAAGATCCATCAGTGTTCATTTTAAACCACCCCTCCCTTGGGGGAAGCCATCTAATAGGAAGGTAGGTGTAAGAAGTAATTCTCCTAAGATGGGGATTAGAGGAGCAGAGTTTTGCAGTAAGGCCCATACTTTTTGAGGCAATTTCCTCCAAATTAGAGTAGTTGTGAAAACAAAGATTGTTTCTATCACACCATAGGTTCCAAACAAGGTAACATAAATAAGTTGCCCAAGGTTTTCTAGGATGGGTAACCCAAAGTTTAGAGGTGCAGTTAGCTTTAAGCCAACTAAAGAGGTTAAGTTGGAAACCACCATGGAGAGCAGATGGGATGGAAATGGATTTCCAAAATTTTATGATAATAGGACAGTCCCTAATAAGGTGAAGGCCTGTTTCTGGGGCAAAATTACAACGAGGGCATGCAGCAAGGACTTGTATACCACGAGAGGCTAAAAGAAACCTGAAAGGGATTCTGTCATGAGCAAGCAGCCATATGAAGAAATTAATTTTGGGAATAATGGGACATTTCCAAATCTTCATATCATATCATTGTTATGCATCGGTCATAAAATTAATAAAAATAATAATTAGTGAATTTTTAAAAAAATATTGATGAGAAAATATTATTAAATAAATTAATGTATACAACATTATAAATTTTAATAAAATAAAAATAATTAATGATTAAATGATATGTAATATGATATAAAAAAATTATTAAAAAAAAACAAAAATTGTTTCTTAATCATATTTCTTATCAATTACTCCATACTAAAGAATTTATCTTGAAGTAGTGAATTGCAATTAAGGGATTTCTCAACACTCCTGGTGAATTCAAATACACCCCAAAGGATTTTTCTTCTCATTCTTCCTTTTACATATCTATGTAATCCTTACCCATTTCTTCTTTTCTTTCCAAGTTTCAACTCCGCCTACCATTTACCAATCCACTGTTAACCTCGTATTCGATTACACATACATCAGGGCTTCCAAGGACCTGTCATGGATGGCAAACTTCCAGGTTCCAGCCATTCTCTGTGGAGCACATGAGATTAAAAGTTTAAAACAACAATTAACCCTTGGGTCGCCAAATAACTCAGGTCACGGCTAGGTCTCATGGAAGCATCCGCCCGAAAATTTATTGACATTAAGGGATTGATTTAGTCATTTTGCCTTAAAACAATTTTTGGGCACAGTGAAGGGTGGGATTGTTGCCCCACCCTAGCTTGTTAACGTCAAACTATTTTATGTAACTTGATTTAATCTTACATAAATAAATTATTTATATATAACAAAATAGTTGGATAGAATCATATTATATTAATCACTATAACAACAAATTTAATCTTACATTATTATTATTATTATTATTATTAACCTTCAGCTATGTACTCTCAAATACACTACTAATGACAAATTATTAACAATTCCTGTAGACTTGTACATGAACTAAAACGTAAATTTGCAGTCTCAAACTTATGCCTGTCTTTTATAGATAAGATTATTCCCACCAAAAATTTTGTTAAA